ACACCGAGTCCCAGGCATCAATCCACACACGCCAAAATGTGTATTAATTTCCATGCTTCAGACGACACGAAAATGATGATGATGATGATGATGATGCTGCTGACTCCGATTCCATTGGGAGCATTTATTTTGGTCTGTGAAGAGTTTGTTTTGCTACGTGTGTGGGGCGCGCGGAGGCAAATACAGCAGCAATGATCATATTTGGGATATAAAGTGGAGGCCCCCCACTTGGGGCCTGTTGTCTTATTTATTTAATTTTTATTGCTTTATTTTGTTATATTTCCCCCCTGATGTGTGCCACTATTTGAGCTGATTTCACGGAACAACTTTTTATAATTCGAATTATGGCTATGAGTTGATTTTAATGGTTTCTGTTGAGAATCCTTGGCAAAAATAAAATAAAATTTTTCATTGCTGTTGGGTAATAAAAACTGTTGTGGAAAATACTTTCTTATGAGCACAAAACTAAGCCATAATAATATTCATATTTCTCTGAAACAATTTGGATTATTTCTGAAGCGAATTCCGTACATGCACCCACAGTAAACACCAGCTAGAAAGAACAACAAAAGTGAGCAAATAATGGGCACTGGAAGCGAGAGCTGTGTTTGCCGGGAGAACCATAATTATTTTAAATTGTAAGCAACAATATTTACGCATTCGTAATTGGCAGTTCGGCCAGCAACAGCAACAAAAAAAAAAAACAATTACAATTACAATGGCAACAGCCCACTGCAACTGCTGTTTGGGTGCAGGAAATGGGCATGGTTTATGGTTTCTGGTGTGCTGTGTAATTTGCACATTTTCATTAAATTCACCTGCATTTATTTTGCCTTTTTTTGTGTGGGGGCTTGTTTCGGGCAAGAGGCGCGCTTCCATTGTCTGGCCGCATTAGCGCTTGGCCCAGTGAACCAGCAACTGAGACTGGCCCGAACACCGCCCCACAACGGCGGCAACAAAGCGTTTCACTTCCTGTACGGGAACTTAATGAAAATAAATCTAGAAAAAATATCAACAAAGGAAAGGCGACGAGAATTTTGTATAGAAATGGGCAGGCAACCAGCGAGGAGGAGGATACTGGTACTGGTACTGTGTGCCACCTGTTCACAGGTGTACAATGTGCTCGGGGGATTTCTTGATGACGCATTCAACAGCTCGGAAGTAATAGACCCTAACAAACAAACCAAACACAACAGGATCTACGCCTCAGTCGAAAAGAAAGAGCGTCTAGAAGAGGGAACTTCAATAGAGCTCGGGCATAACTATGAACCACTTGGAGCGTGAGACAGACCGAAGGGAAACCCATTTGAATGGGAAGTGCATAAAAGGATTGAAGTGCAGGTGTGGAGGGCAAAGCACTTTCAAATTTAATTCTACTAATGATGAATTAGTCTGCGCCCAGTCTTCAGATAAATAGAAATAGAGGCTCAGTAGCTCAGAGTAGAGTCTGGCAGGTATAACCCATTATTATTAGTTGTTTCAAATATTTAATCTGGAGCTATGGCTCAAATATAACATCGAAATGATCTCCAACTGATCACCACACAATATTCCATGTATAATGCAACTTAAATTCAAAATAAATCGAGTTCAAAAGATCACTCGAGGCCCTTCTACTATTTAATATTCCCATCGGATGTGCACACATTTTAAATCAATTACGGAAATGTTTCGCTCAATCTTTCAATCAATCAATTGGATTTGTTTGCTCTTTTTTTTCGCTCACTCAATACCAAATGCCATCAATAACAATAATTTTCATAAATATGATAAGGCATAAATCACAAGTAGCAGGCGCCGCAAAGTGCCCTGGCAAGGGTCCTCTATTCCTAGTCCTGGTTGCTCAATGTCCCCAACAGTGTTTCCCTCGTCAGTCTCTTCTCTGTCCTGTGTCCCTCTGCGAGTACGAGGGAGACAGACCCTCATTCCGTTTCCTGGCGTGCCATGTCACTTGGTCATGCGAGGCACGCGCTTCACTGAGAATGGCAACAAGGAACACGAGGGGGTGGCAGCCTGGCTAAGCAGGACCCTAGCCCACATGGACACAGGACTCGGGAGGCAGGAGGCAGGAGGCAGGAGGCAGGAGGCAGGAGCCTGGAACTGGGAAGCAGGCCGCAGGCCAGGGGACACAACAACGTCACGCGGCGTTGTCATGGCGCAATAAAAATAAAAATCTAATTAGTATGCCGTTGACAGTTTAATCGTGATTACGCTGGTAAAATTGTCAGCCAAGCGGGTGGTGCTGCCCGTGTAGAGGGTATACGAGCGACGAGGCGGCTGCATGAGTAAAACAAAGTAAGCGTCAACATCCACATGGCACAGCCACAGTTGATTCTTGCTGTTGCGTTGCTGTTGCTGTTGCTGTTACTCTCTGCTCCTCTTGGACGTTGAGCTTGGCATTTCCGGCAGCCGCCGCATGCATCGCGTGCGTGTCGTGTAGTTTGCCGCAGTGTCTGTGTGTGCGCGCCTTGTGTGTGTGGGTGTCAAAATTTCCCGAGCGAATCAGGAGCAGCAGCTAGTGCCAACAAAACGCTAAGCAACAAAATTGTTAATCAAAAAATGCAAAAGCATGCACCTCACAGCGAAAAAGTGGTGCGATATGCAAGTTAAGAAATTATTCAATTAGCTAGATAATCGAGAGAATAACATGTGGTTCCCTGTAGTCACTGCAGAATGATCAGCAAATCGACATCAGCTCCATAACAGCAGAGAGGCAGTAAAGCAGTTACAGCAGAGAGACATAACCAGCTGTTAAGCAGAACAGCAGAGCGAGATTAGCAGCTGTAAAGCATAACAGCAGAGGGAAATTTACAGCTGTTAAGCAGAACAGCAGATCGCGATTAACAGTTGATAAGCAAAACAGCAGAGGGAAATTTACAGCTGTTAAGCAGAACAGCAGAGCGAGATTAGCAGCTGTAAAGCATAACGAAGAAGGAGATTTACAGCTGTTAAGCAGAACAGCAGATCGCGATTAACAGTTGATAAGCAAAACAGCAGAGGGAAATTTACAGCTGTTAAGCAGAACAGCAGATCGCGATTAACAGTTGATAAGCAAAACAGCAGAGTAACAGTACCAGCAGAGAAGCAGAGGAAAAGATATAACAGGCGTTGTCTAAGCAGAAATCATTCGAGATTGAATTGCACCGTAAGGTATTGCATATATTTTTGAATTCTATGTAACCAAATTTATAATCAGTTGGTTCTAATAAACTGTCCAAAAAGCTTTTCTGGCAAACCTCGCTGGCATATTTTTGGACTCTGCATTTGTCGGATAATGTGCGTCGGCTACAGAGCACTTGCACCCACACACCCGCACACACACAGGCATCGAGAGCACGCCTTGGTGTTGGCCATTGGAATTCGTGTGTAGTGAAGGATACGCGAAACGTGATTGCAATTTTAAACAGGCCCCGGCGCCAGTTCCCCTTTGATTTTGAGTGTCTCTACGTGTGCGTGTGTGTGTTTCCTGAAATATGAGTAACTTGGTCTAGACTGGCGGTGGGGTGGGGACAAGTGGGAGAGCACGTCAGTTGGCCACATGCCAGTCAGCAGTCAAGAGTGGGAATCAAAATCAAAATCAAAATCAAGCTGTTGTGTAGCTTTGGCCTAGACCGGAACCGGAACTCGCTCTGATGAATTGCCCCTGCGCCTGTGCTCTTAAAGGCTCAGGCAATTTGCGGCAACTTTCAAGTTCAACAAATGCTCCTCCCCCTCTGGCATTGCTCATATTTTTCAGTTTTTAATATAAAATGCCAAAAAGCGGACATAAAGCGGGGGATTTATGAGCGCTTCTTTTACAACTTTATTATGCCCCAATCTCACAATGAAAGAAAGAGCCGGGCGGGAGTGGGGCTGGGAATACGAAATGAAATTAAAGCTGCCGGAAATGCAGACAAAGCGACAAGTCATTGCAGCAGCCATTTTGCCTAGAGTGTCAAACGGAGAAGGGGGGCAGGAAAAATCCCGGAAAAATAATAGAAAGAAAAGCCGGAGAACTGAAATGGAATCCGAATCATATTGCGCTGCCGCTGCCACTGCCGGATGGCAGACTCCAGCAAAGTGACAAACAAACAGTCGTACGGAGCGTCAAATTGCAGCGAACGAGGAGAAGTATTACAAAAAATTTGCACAAAATATTAATGAAAAATGTTCCTGCAAGAGGAAAAACTGGTGACAAGACGGGCATGGTACAGGAAATTCGAATGGCAGAAAAAGCTGAATGAATGAATGAGCGAATGCCTTTTGCAATATCGCAAATATGAATTGACAGACAATGCATCTGGAATCAAATAAGCGCAAACACAGAGCACAATTGAAGTCAATGGAGTGCGAGGAAATTACCTTGGCGGAACACTCGTCAAATAGGGAAAGGCTTAAGCTGGTCTTAGTCTTTTGACAAATGTTCTTTCAGGTGAATTCCCATTGTTGTTGAATGGAAAACCAAAGCTTGTAGTTCAAAATGCATTCAAAGATTTCTTTTACATTTGAAACCTATTCCAACATAACATCGAACTTATTGAAAGTTTCGTTTCTGTTGTTATGTTTTGATGCACAAATCTTACATCTAATATCCGCCCCAACATTCGCTGATTACCTTTTGGTGGCTTTTGCCTTTCCACTCGCGAACGGAGATTAACTTTTAGCCACTGCTACAGTTTTGTTTGGACCACTGTTTCAGTGTAATAACAAAATACAAAAAAAATAAGCAGAATTGAAGCATGTCCGGCGCACAAAATGGTTGCACAAAATGCCAACCGCAACATAATCGAACCGCAAATGATGTGGCAGAGAATATTGGAAGGGAAGCGGCGCCTGGGGTCAACTCAGAATTTGATTCATTCTGGAATGGTGAGCATAATGCACGATAAATATTTAATATCATCGGAATGCTGGCGAACTTAAATGATGGGCTTCTATTTCAAATTATGACAGGCGTGGGCAACTGCATAATGAATGAGGAGTGGAAAATATATGATTAATTCGCCATGTGGCACACTCACCTGGCAGGGTTGCGATGTAGACAGCGGCAAGGATGTAAATGTTACGCAGATTAATCGCCGGCAGTGGCATTCTGTTGACTTGTTTTTTTTTTGTCCACAAATATGATTATTTATTGATTAATTAGTGAATTGTTTTTGTGTCGCACAGCAGTCCGCAGAACTGAGATTTGATGTCAAACGAGTGCGAGTCCGATATCCGCTGGCTGAAACCGCAGAAATCAATTTTTAACATTCGCTAACTCGCCCCGCCATCCCCTCTGTGCTGCCGTCCAGCTTGTGCAATTTCCTTTTTTGCCCTCTGATTGGTTTCGCTTTTTGCTCTATTTTGCGGTTGCATTTAATGCATTTTTCATTTTTCGCATGTGCTTTTGCTTTTGCTTTTGCTTTTGCCTTCTTTGGTTTACCAGTCAGCCACAATTAGCAATCTGCACAGTGAGTCCCATTTGTGTACGGATTCGAACACCTTCATGCCACTGACATGCCCCTAAATCTGTTCGCCGAACACAAGTACTCGTATGTTCGGTTTAGCAGCATTTTCCATTGAACTCGATTTTGGCTATTTGCATTTTTCACATCCCTTTTGCATTTCTTTTGCATATTCATTTCCTGTTTTACACAATTGTTTGCCCTTTGTTGCTGTGTGTATTTTATACGATTTAACTCCGCCGTCGCTTTGTTCGGTCTGGAAGATGATGGACCTGGCTCTGGTTTCCTGTTTCAGCTGCAAAATGGATAAGTGAAAGGGATTAGTATGTGTTCCACTTGAAGATTTTTCGGTATTAAGTAAGTTAAATAATATGAATTATTCTCCCCATATAACTAGCATCAATTTTAAGTTTAGTAAATATTTAAAATACATTTAAATTGTTCAGTTATTATTTTTCATTCTTTGAACAAAATATTATGGAAATAATGCTTCCATTTTGTCGCACAGTGTAATTTATATGTCTTTGATTTACTACAATTTACCATGCCGTTTGTCTTCTTAGACTTCTTAGACCTTGCATAACACATCGTCATCGCATTACCTTAATCAAATCGCATTTGCGATTGCCCTTTCGCGTTTGCCTTTCCTCCGCTCGTGACACATTCCCCTGCCTTGACATCTCCAATCATCATGAAATTCAATATCCCAGACAAGATTTACTGCCTCCAACTGCTGCGACCCTTCTGGGGGACTACATCATGGACGGACACTTTAAGCTGCATCGGCTTTGGAGTTTGGCAGAGGGTTGAACAAAACATAAGCTCAGTGCATTTTCCGAACTGACTTGAAAATCCAAATGTTGCCCATTAGCAAACCAAATACGCACAGACTTTGGCGCCACAGAAAAGCCTCGCCCAGAGCCGCATGCGTTCGCCGGCTGACTTTACATTGGAAATTGGCAAAAGCCAAGCCATGAAATTGTACAACACGATTTTCACATTTCGTACATGACACCATTTCGTGTGCCTCCGCTTCCTACACATCCCTGCCCCACCGCTGATATGGTGATATGGGAGGACTCGTACATACGTACATGGCGCCTGGGTTTGTGTATTCCGCGGCTGCCTACTTGACTCGCCTGCGACTCCAGGCAGTTGTGTGCACAGCGAAAATTCACTTATGGAAATCGAAGATTTTTCACATTGAGTTTGTCGCTATTCTCTTACTTTTCCATTCCATTCATTCTCCCTGTGACGTGGGCATACTAAACTGATATGAAGTATCAACAATCTGTATTCAATGTAAATCCTTTAAGCTGCAGATGCGCTCGAAGGGAGCTCTCCCACATCCCACATTGTTGACTGAGTGACAGCTTGACTGCGGCTTTGATTGGAGGCTCTGTGGCAGATGCATAAGTGAAGTGCTCTGCCATGAGCGTCTCGGGAAAGTGAAAGGCAATCTGGCTGTGGCACATTCGTGGAGAGTGTCACACATATGGGTAGAGTCAGGTTCCTGTAGATCGGATTCCCGTAAACGACAGGCACTATTGACAATCGAAAATCAAGTTTCCATACGTCTAATAGTGTGAGAGTACACAGTACTCCGTGATCAACCCTTCCGACTTTTTATATACCTTTTCCTGTACCTCTCACAGTCTCTGGGTGTTCTCTACTCCGTCCTCAGGCTTCTGCTTCCTCATTTTTATACAATTTTCTTTACATTGTAAACGAAGCAAGTGAAGCAGTTCTGTCTAACAATCCCGATTGCTACTCGGAAAATCAACATGAGCTCATATAGAGTACAGCAAACACTTTCCAAGAGCGAAATGGACTCCGATGATGCAGTGACGATCAACTCGCAATTTTCCGAGCAATCCATACATTCGTCATTCTTTGGGATCAGCACTGAAGTGAGGATTTCGCCACAGAAAAGGTAAGTGGATCGGTAAGTTTTCAGAGGGAGCTTCAGAGGATTCTTCTTTTAGAGTTTTCCAGCTGTTGCTCGATTACAAACAGTTCAAGTCGGCCCGTAACATTCAGCGGCACGTGCGTGGATGGCTCTGCCGTCTGCAGGTGACCAAGAGAGCGGCGGCAGTCACCACCATCAGCAGGTGGTGGCGTGGCTTCAGTGTACGCAAGAGCTACTACTCCCTGGTTGAGCAGAGACTGCAGGCGAATATGTTGGCCCACTACCACGAGCAGGCAACCATGATCCAGACGCTGTTCCGGGGCTGGCGCACTCGTCAGTTTGTGCAGGACTTCAATGGCCTTCAGCTACTTCAGCTGCAGTTTGCCGAGGATCTGATCAGCTGCCTGGCACGACACTTGCGCCATCTGAAGCATAACAATCAGCTGCCAGGGCTTTATTCAATGCGCGAGAACGGGTACGATTGATGTGTGTGCCATTTCCCACCTTCCCATACTAACAGTGTCCGCTGCCCACACTCGTAGATGCCTCAGCATTATTGAGGATCTGGCTCGCACTTTTAGCTACCGTTTTCACAACGGTCAGGTGCGGGCTTCAATCGCCAAACGACGCTCATACCTCGAGGACATGCGTCGGGACTTCAATAGGTCTGAGCAGTATACAATAACGCCCTATCCAGGTCATGGTGCTGTGCTGGGAGAGTGCACTGTACACGTGGAACTCAATGAGCCGGGCCTCTCCAAAGAAACCGATATTCGCGTGCAACGCCTCATTCTGATGTTTGAGAAGTCCAAACGGGATCCAGAAATTGCCCGAATTCAGGCATCGCTGGCCTCCAGTAAGTAGCGATTGGAATCGCATTGGAAATGATTTAATCATTCCCCGTTCTTAGAACTCCGTCGAGATATCGAGTCCTCTCTGAAGGTGCAGCAGGAGGAAAAGATGAAGAAATTTTGCAATCATGTCTTTCATCGCATAGCACCCGAACTGAAGACCAAAGATAATCGCCATGGCATAAAAATGTATCTCGAGGAATTGTTATACAACGCTGAGGAACCGAACTGTCATTGCCGGCCAAAGTTGGTAGATAATTCGTTGTGCCATTAGCTGGCTTACACTTACACACGTATTTTGAATCGTTTTTGAAAAGGTTAATGCATATTTTAGTAGATTTCATTATTACCCAAACGAAAATGTAATACAAATGTTAAATTGTTCGAGTTTCACGAAGTTGTACAGGAAGTTTTATTCGTTTCGCCTTTCGACCTGTTACCGATATGACAGCAACATCTGTCTCACCTTCCTGAGTACTATTCAGAGCTACCCTAGTGACTGACGGACCATTCCTACACCAGCCCCAGCTCCAGCCATATTCCCATCAGTCACAGAGTTTCACAAATTCCGGAACATAAAACAGATTTGGTCATACTCTCAAGTGAAGAGGAGGAAGTCAAAGCAAAGCGCTTAAACTTTTTTAATGCCAAGGCAACAAAAATTGTAGAAGAGGACGAGAATTCGGTTCGTTTTTCCGTGCGTTTTTAGCAGCTCACAATTTATTTGCAAACATTTATTATAGTTACTTTTGTTTTATTCGCTTTGAGTACTTTTGCTTGTTAGGGGCAGCGGTAGGTGGTGCTCGGGAGTGCTGATGGTGGGTCACTTTTTATGCTGCATTGTTTTATGGTCGCATTGTGGTTGGCAATGAAATGCCCCGCAAACACACACAAAAAGCGAACCAAAGTTGATAAAAACCACAGAAGTAGCGGAGAAATGTAAAAGACTTCAGGCTGGGGAACGGGAGCGGGGAATCTAGAAAACAAATTAGTTTAAAGATAAGTAGGTTACGCAATCTTGTGGAGCATACTTTCTGGCGCAAAGTGGCTGTCTTGATTAGTCTTCAGAGAGCGAAAGAGAAGGGCAGCGAGCCGCGAGACCAGATGGCAAACACAATCAGGCATCCGTCGGCATCAGACTTCACGTGAAAATGTTGAGCAGCTGTCGATGGCAAGGCGATGTCGATGGCGGGGCTTAAGGCAAATACGAGTAGCATAAAACAAACTCTCCAGGGAATTGCCAACGCAAGGAGTGAATGCCGGAGTGCCGAAGAGGGTTTCCAATGTATATGGGTGTGGGGGGGGGGATTGAGGCGTGCCCGTAATGCGCCTTTGGCCAAGTGCACTGTAAATACCAAAGCAATTTTCACTGCAAAATTAACAAGCGCCAAACCGCAACACAGGCCCGAGGTGCTGAAGTGGATTGGCTTGGACTGGGCAAGATGATGCAGATGCGGATGCGGATACTGAAGGTACACGGGCGCTGCGAGGATGTGTGAGTGCGAGTGCTTCGGGTTTCATTGAACGTGGCTCTAAGTCTGGCCAAGGCGCAAAATACATAATGAATTTCCGTTGCCCTACATCCCTTCTTTCGCTTGTTTTACTTGCCTTTTGTGGTCCTTTACACACACACACACTGCCTGCTGGGCAGGGGATCCCTTACCGACACACGAATGCAATTAAGCTGCCTGAACTAAAGCGATTGCCCCGCTCTCAACTGGATCATCAATCCAGCAAGGAGAAAGCTATTAGCGCTCCTTCACCTACATATCTATGCTCCTCTTTTGTCTGACTTCGTTGCAATAACAATTCCCCAAATGCTTGACCTGCCAGTTCGGAAACGTGAAACATGTGACCGAAGCCGCTTAAAAATAAATCTTTGGATATTTGAAAGAATTATAATTAACACTTTAAATATTATTATACATATGTACATTAATATTGTTTGCAGTGTACACTTTGTTATTAACTACGAAATTGCTTGCAGACAAACGTCTTTCGTTGTCTTCTTTGCACTTTACCGTTTGTTTTTGGTCACTGCCCATACCATTGCTATACACGCACGCACCGTCTTGTCCAGTGTCTGACTCATAGCTGCGTTGTTGTTGGTGTAAAAAAGAGCGAGCGATGGGAGAGCGATGATGTTCAAGGAGAGATTAAAATGGAAACGGTAAATAGAGATCAACGCACGAGCGTGTTGCTCTGCAGACTGCAGCAAGCTGTTTGGTTAGACAGAGAGAGAGAGGTGTATCGAGGGAGAGCTACAAGCTGCAAAACTGCAAGCTGCAGACATTGAGAGTCTGAAAGGGATGGCTGTCGATGCTCTCAGTTCAGTCGTTGAATGTTGCATGGAAGCTTGCCCAAACAGTTGCTCCCAGGGAAATTCTGCAAGCTGTACGATAACTGACTATAATTCCATTACGACATGTACATACATAATATGTATGTATCTACTTATGTACATATGTATGTATGTATATTGTTGCTGTTTATGCCACCTATTAATTGTTCAATCGCCTTTATCGGTTCTTGTGT